TGACCACTGCTTTTACTCTAAGTGCACTACATGTCTACACATGTGAAAGCAGTATGTTTACTGTTCTTTATTTTTTAGTTATCTCTAGTACACGTGGTACAGGCCATGATAACCATGGTGGGTAGAATTTGACGACTGCTTTTACTCTAAGTGCACTACATGTCTACACATGTGAAAGCAGTGTGTTTACTGTTCTTTATTTTTTAGTTATCTCTAGTACACGTGGTACAGGCCATGATAACCATGGTGGGTAGAATTTGACGACTGCTTTTACTCTAAGTGCACTACATGTCTACACATGTGAAAGCAGTGTGTTTACTGTTCTTTATTTTTTAGTTATCTCTAGTACACGTGGTACAGGCTATGATAATCATGGTGGGTAGAATTTGACGACTGCTTTTACTCTAAGTGCACTACATGTCTACACATGTGAAAGCAGTGTGTTTACTGTTCTTTATTTTTTACTTATCCCTAGTACACGTGGTACAGGCCATGATAATCATGGTGGGTAGAATTTGACGACTGCTTTTACTCTAAGTGCACTACATGTCTACACATGTGAAAAGGAGTTCGACTTTTGCACTTATAAGTCTGTCAGAGTGTACCTATAAATGTGCCAATAAAGAATCTAATCGAGTTTAGTTTTTATCTCTTTTTCGCCTTCTCCGTGCTCACTCACGATTGTAATGTTGCCTGTTGAAGAGAAAGAGCCCGAAAGCTCGCGGTGTTTTGTAATGAAGAAACATATTGCGTATGTAAAAAATAGCACAAACGTTAATTTGTACTTGAATCTGGTTGATAAATTAAGGAAAAAGGCATTGCCTGATCGTGCAACTGAAAGTTGCTGATGGGTTGCGCCATCTATCGGAATAAATATCAACTAATGCGTTCAAAAGAAACATTTGCTGTAAAACTTGTCAAACATAGATATAAAATAATGAAAAAGGCATCTCCTTATCGTGAAACTGAAAGTTGCTGATAGCTTGTGCCATCTATCGGAATAAATATCAACTATTCTCGTTGATTTTTAATTATTCCAGAATTGGCCAAATACCTATTTTTTGATTAATCAAGAAAAGCTAATCACGGATGCGTTTCGGGCTGTTGACCCTCATCAGCGTGGTGCAAGCTGTACCTCAACAAACAAAAAACTGGTCCTTCAGGCATCCTGAAAAATCATGAAATAGGTATTTAGGCCGAAACACGTATGTGGTTAGCTTTTCTTGATGAAAATAGGATAAGGAGATGTTTTTTTCATAATTTATGAACCTTATCCCAGTACAATATCACATTTGTACTATTTTTTCACACGCGAGAAACGTGTTCGTGGATGGCTTTTCTTGATTTATCAAGAAATTGGGTTGGCCAAATATCAGGGAACAGGTTAAATCAATGAATAGTTATTTCTGTTTCACCAGATGGCGCTCTGCCTTCTGAAAAGCAGATGTAATCCTGGTCAGGATATGCCTACTTTGTGTTTAATATATAAAAGTATATATAACATAATGCGGCTTGTTATTGTAAAACGATATTTGAAATACTATCCCGCATGTGTTTCTTTTCAACGAAAATTCAAAACCCATTTCAAGGAGAAATTACGATTATTTCTAACCTTTTGGATGATATATTGTATTATAAATAACTTTATGTATTATTTACGAACGGAAAAATATGTCCAGGGTAGCCTAGTGGACATGGCATCTGCCCGGTAAGCGGAACACTGTGGGTTCGATTCCCATCCCTGGACACTTTTATTTTTCCGTTTATCATTACCCTTCACAATTCACCCTTTCATACCTCATCCAAAAGGTTAGAAATAATCGTAATTTCTCCTTGAAATGGGTTTTGAATTTTCGTTGAAAAGAAACACATGCGGGATAATATTTCAAATGTCGTTTTACAATATAAAGTTTATCGTAATTTTCTTAATTCTGAAATGGAACTTGATGCCGTTAGGTTTCATATCTCCTGTAGGAGTAGATGCACTCACCGTGCGGCCTACAGCCATGATACACTGAGTCACCAGAGCGATGTTACGTCTCTCCCACAGATCAACAGTCTGGAAGACATCGATCTCAGGAACGCCCCATCTTTTTGCCATCTCCTGGAACTTGTTAATGTTCTCCATCATCTTGAATTGGGCACCGGAGGTGTTGTACTTGGGGATGCAACCGGGCATAAGCTTGTTCATCAGCCTGTACACAGAACACAAACCTGGTTTGTTCAATACACTTGTATATATCTTTACATAGAGTTACACAGAACACAAACCTAGTTTCTTCAATTCACTTGTATACGTACTAGAGTTACACAGAACACAAACCTGGTTTGTTCAATACACTTGTATACATCCTTCCAGAAATTCATATAGTGTCCATAAAACCTTTATAAAAATACTCAAACTTTTAACTAACCAATCCAAAATTTAAAACCTAAACATGTTCATAAACTTGTACATCCTCCTATAGTATATCGGATATTGTCTACGTTTAATAGAATCACCGAATGTCGTGGTCCATTTGGAACTCTTCGCGATTTTGCGAGTCATCCTTGCACAGGGGTCTATGCTAATCTTCTCTGTATCGTTCTTATTGTAGTAGTTGTACCGCTTAACAAGCGTATGGTCTATTTGGATGAGGAAAGCGAAGGCTATAACGCGGTTAATTCCACAATCGCTTTTTCAGTGATACGCTAACTTTGACGTATGCATGATGGAATCTGTGGCCACTGTACATACGTCGGACCTGGAGGCTGTTGTTGGGTTCTGTGCTGCCTGGAGTATAAGGGCTCCATCTATGCCTTCTTCCTGTGGTGAATCTGTATAAGACCGGTGGTCTTAATAAAGCTGTATGTATGTGTGTGATTGTGTATATTCAGAACAATTGTTGGGTTCTGTGCTACCTGGAGTATAGGAGCTCCATCTATGCTTCCTTCTTGTGGTTAATCTGTATAAGACCGGTGGTCTTAATAAAGCTGTGTGTGTATATATTCAGAACAATTGTTGGGTTCTGTGCTACCTGGAGTATAGGAGCTCCATCTATGCTTCCTTCCTTTGGTGAATCTGTATAAGACTGGTGGTCTTAATAAAGCTGTATGTATGTACATTCAGAACAATTGTCGAGTGTTTCCTTTCTTCCTGTGGTGAATCTGTACAGTCCAGTAGTCTTAATAAAGCTATATGTGTGTATTCATAACAATTATTGGGTTCTGTGCTGCCCGGAGTATAAGAGCTCTATCTATGCTTCCTTCCTGTTGTGAATCTGTATAAGACGGGTGGTCTTAATAAAGCTGAAGCTGTGTGTGTTTCCTTGAAGGGAAGTTTTGGACGATGTATTAAAAAAGGTTGTCTTACCTGCAGAGGACAGTTCCGTCCCTAAGGATCTCCTCGTATGGGCCAGCGGGCAACCTCTCTCCAAGGACACTCTCGATCCAAGCCAAGCATTCTGCCTCCAGCTGAGGGTCTCTCTTTCCGGCGAGCTGCACCAAACAAAATCCGTTCATCTCCAGTACAGTACAACTCCAATATGATCCTATATTTCAATCTAACGATCTTGATTTATCCGAAAATTCTTCTTGTCCAGGAAATGTCAACCTCCCTGACAAACGACAACAACCCAGCCAAGTATCTCGACACCCCCGCAATGTTCTAAAAGTGAACATGTGCCAAGCAAGTTTCACGTTAACGACTTGTCTCTTGAAAAAAACAAATTGTGTTGCCAGAAAAACTTCAGGAAAAATGCCAGCTGATTAACTTGATGACAACGGGTCGTTTTGTCACCCACGCTACAGACAACCCCCATCTCTGTTTCATCCAAGGAGCCAAGACGGTTGGGAAACCTTGGCCCAAACCACCACAAGTAGAGGCTGATTAGCACGATGGTATTCTTCTACGATATTTGAGGAAGAGCAATTGCTCGGTCGGTAGGTGGAAGGATGATCTAAACCATTGTTTTTCGACCGCTACGACCCGAGTTCGATTCCCGCATTGGGCACTTTTTTTCTGATTTAAAAACAATGCTCCAATGGCCTCTAATTCTTGTAAAAGTCCAACCCCACTAGCGAGTTCAAGTAACCAAACGGGGCTCTGAAACATTTGTAAGTGCAAAATTCTCTCTCTCTCTCGTTCTAAGAATGCACCAACCATCCAATCCAACTCACCAAAGCTCGAAGAGAAACAACCGCTTCAGACCACGTTACAACAGGTAGAGGAGTTGTTGTTGTTTTTGTTTCTTATCTCCTTGTGTAAAGATTACACGAATTCTAATCTCATGGAATGGGGTATAGGGGTGCCGCTTTCGTTGATCATGGCACCATGATCCAGGCACACTTTGGTAAGTCTGACTTTGCCTGTAGTTTGAGGCCGTTCCTAACATGGAAGCAAACGCCTTTGCTGCCGACTCTAACATGAGTACAGACGCAGCTCCTCCGTATCCCTGGAGTGTGACCCTTGCTGAGGTCTATCAACCGGGTCAGTTGAAATCAGGATTTATAAAGAGGTCTTTCTCCTCTTCTAACAATGCTGCTGTTGGTCCGCGACTGCTTATTTGTCAGAGTTATTCTGCTTGTTTCACAGCTGGCCTTCATATCTGAAGATCATTCCCCTATCTGCCACCTGGGGACGCGCCCTGTTGCAGTCAGCTCTGCCAAGAGGAGTTGTTCGAGAGCTTGAATGCCAACACCATCCTAGACCCTCTTTATAGAAACTGATATAGGGAGGAGATAGTCTTCTCTTCTAACAGGGAGGACGAGTACCTGTCGACTGAGCAAAGGTATGAAGGAATTCCTCAACATGGCTATAGTCGGGGAGATCTGTCCGACTTCAGGACGTGACATCATACCAGACGACCCTCAGTGGGATTTCTCTGATTAAAATAATATTTAATTTTACCTTTTTTTCTTCTATTAAGCACAACATACATATTGTTTATAATACATTGCGGCCTGTGATTGCAAAAGTATTATAAGTTACTTTATGTATCATTTACGAACGGAAAAATATGTCCAGGGTAGCCTAGTGGACATGGCATCTGCCCGGTAAGCGGAACATTGTGGGTTCGATTCCCATCCCTGGATACTTTTATTTTTCCGTTCATCATTACTCTTCATAATTCACCCTTTCATACCTCATCCAAAAAGGTTAGAAATAGTCAATATTTCATCTTGAAATAAAATTTTGATTTTTCATTGAAAAGAAACTCATGAGGTGTAACTTCAAGTGTCGTTTTATACATATTGTTTCACCAGGTTGCGTCTTGGCAGACTCTTCAGCCTTGATTATTTCCTCAGACATATCTTGTATCTTACCAGAACGTGTTTCAACCATCCTACCAATTTATATAAATGAGATAACTCTACTTTAAGTAGACTCCGCAATAATATACATCTACAAGAAAGGTATTTACAAGTTTCCCAGATCGATCAATACAACCGAGATACAAACTATTTACAGATAAGATGCCAACATCAGGATGATGATATTGTCGCGAAATTTGTTTAGAGTGAAATCAAAATAATTGTTTAATTATTAAATATGTAAATATTTTAATAGTTCGATGTTATGTAAATTTTGTAACTTTAGATATTCCCTCCTTTTTCTTTAGATAAAAGGTAAGAAAGATATCACTCAATTTTCGAGCCTTAATTTAATAATAAAACCTGCTGAAATAGCTCTGTGTACCTCTATTCATTTAATTGCGACAATTGCCAAGCGAGAGGTACTGGGATCGTTACCCAGCATCTCAACCAATTGTCGCAATTAAATGAATGAAGGTACACAGAGCTATTTCAGCAGGTTTTATTATTTCAAGGCTTTACCCGGCGTCTCCACCAATCTCTTGAGTTGTCACCACACAATTCTGTGACAATATATAGAGCGGACTGACAGAATAAACTGATGAAACTACAAGGAGATTTCTGATTACACTAGACCAGGGGTCGGTAAACTGCGATTCCCAAGTCACATGCGGCTCTTTGAATGTGAAGCTGCGGCTCTTTATATAGTTCCATACGTAAATATTATTTATGTGAGTACTATTCATTGTTGGTAATAAAATAGAGATTCACAGAAATACATTTTCAAAAAATCAAATATAAAAATTGTTTTCAGTTGTAGAAGGTTATGGGGATAGTTTCAATAGGGGTGGACATTATATCTGTGTTGAATATGCTGGAACTGCTGGGGTAGATCTATTCTTCAATGAACATTTTATACTCGGGTAAACGCAATAATTTGGTGTAAAAAAAGTCTAGTAATTTTATACAAACATTATTTTACAATTTTTTTTGCTTAACTCTAGTACACGTGGTACAGGCCATGATATGGTGATATAGCGGGTTGAAGTTGACGACTGCTTTTACTGTAAGTACACCACATGTCTACACATGTGAAAAGCAGTTCGACTTTGCACTTATAAATGTTACAGAGCATCTTTACACATGTAGTACATATGTTATAGGCCATGATAATCATAGTGGGTAGAAGTTGTCAACTACTTCGACTGTAAGTGCACCACATGTCTACACATATGTGAAAAGCAGTTTGACTTTGCACTTACAAATATGCCCTGTTTGGTTACTTGCACTCACTGATTGGGTTGGACCTTTTCAAGAATCGGGAGCCATTTGAGCATTTTTTTTTTATCAGAAAAAAATGCCCAATGCGGGATTCAAACCCGGGTTGTAGCGGTCGAAAACCAATGGTTTAGACCATCCTTCCACCGACCACCATTTTCAAACCATATGCTGGTGCAGATCAACGAATCAGAGCATGCATACCCATCCCGTCTCTTGTTTCCAGCACTCTAACAATACCTCTCTGTCCCAAAGGACCTTCCTATATATATATAGAAGAGGTCCCACATGTCTAATTATAACTGAACTTCCGGGAAAAACGAATTAAGAAAGAATCTAACGACCTCTTCCTTCTCTCTAGAAAATCTTCCTCCTATCTTTTTCTAAGTTTTCTGTAGTTTTTGGCGAAGGTCAATAGATGGCGTCTAGTTTTGACGTCTACGTCCTGTGGTGAATCTGTATAAGAGACCGGTGGTCTTAATAAAGCTGTATGTGTATATTCAGAACAATTGTTGGGTTATGTGCTGCATGGAGTATAAGAGTTCTATCTATGCTTCCTTCCTGTGGTGAATCTGTATAAGACCTGTGGTCTTAATAAAGCTGTATGTGTATATTCAGAACAATTGTTGGGTTCTGTGCTGCATGGAGTATAAGAGTTCTATCTATGCTTCCTTCCTGTGGTGAATCTGTATAAGACGGGTGATCTTAATAAAACTGTATGTGTGTGTATATTCATTGTTTTAAGATATTCTAAACGGTCTAAATTGTTGTTCTATTTAGTATATTTTGCCAGAGTTTCTTTCATGGTCTTTTTTGCTATGTAACAAATAATGATCAAACAAAGGGTTCGACATTGAGTATCCGTTTTTGTTATTTTAAGAACAATTAGCCTTTTTATGATTATCAAGCATTACATAGTATCATCTGCGTGTTAAGGATGTAATTATTTAACGTTATTTCTTAACGTTAATTTTCACTTTTAAAAAGTTGGAGATTTTTCAAACAAACAACTCGAGAATATAGTTTTAAATATTGCCACGTGGAAAATTAGGGAAGACCAACTTCGGGATGAGACAACAATTTATTTCAGGCAAGAACAAACTATGAATTTTGTCTGAAGATGGTAACAACGCTGTTACCGAAACATCACACACTATTTATTTATTTGGATTTGGTCTTATTACCTTGTGTTTATAATCTATAATCCAAATTGTGCCTTATTAAACTATGAATGATAAACAAAAGATAAGCAAAAGAAGGAAGTATACAGAGTATATATATAGCAAAATATATATAAAAAATACTCTGCTAAAATAATAAATAGTTTGTTATAATATAATTTAAAACATCTCCATTGTACGTAAGCGCGTGTGTGTGTACGAAGGACTTTCTAGTGTTGAAAAATTATTTAAAATATAAAAGGTATAATTATAATTGTTAGAGAGGGATTTCAAACAATAGGTCATTGTTGTTTGACAATAAGGAAACAATTGACGCCAGGTTCTGTCACATTGAATTGTTAGCATTCTTCTACGACATACTTCTTGGGCTAGAAGAAAGAGTTCATTTATTCCACGGAATGCCAACACTCTCTCTTTTCTACACGTCTCATGTCTTGTTTCATAGTTGGAATAATACACAGAGTAACAATGGCTATAGATGAGCTCGTGTTTGAAAAGGAACTTGTATATAATAATAATTTATGCACCTTATCCCAGTACAATATTACATTTGTACTATTTTTTCACATTGTGTAGCGTTCTCACGCAATTCTGGCCTTAACTACCCGTTTCATGATTTTTCAGGATGCCTTAATGACCAATTTTTGGTCGTTGAGGTACAGCTTGTACCACGCTGATGAGGGCCAACAGCCCGAAACGCGTCCGTGGTTAGCTTTTCTTGATTAATCAAGAATGGGTATTTGGCCAATTCTGGAATAATTAAAAATCAACGAGAATAGTTGATATTTATTCCGATAGATGGCGCAAGCCATCAGCAACTTTCAGTTGCACGATAAGGAGATGCTTTTTTCTTAATTATTTTTTTGTTGTTGTTTTCAGCCTTTATTTAAGGCCTCTCGCCCTATACAGGATTCGCCAGTTCACAAGAGATGGGGAGAACACTGTGTGGCCTTTTTCCAGGATATAATCCTGTGGAATATCGCCACCGCTATATACCTATTCTTTGATATTTCATTAATTAGTGCCGGAAATGAAGGACAAAGTTGCCCCGTTTTATCATTTAGTTTTCGTCTTTCCTCTGACAGAGCAGCACAATCAAATAAGTAGTGCAACATCTCCATTGTTATTCCTAATCCACAGAAAGTGCATTTCTGATTTGTTGTTTTCATGTAGACATATATACCAAGCTTTGTTTTGTAGAATTGCTATTAATAATAAATAATATGCAAAGTTAAATTGGTTACGGATTACTTACTTTAATTACATAACAACATAAACTATTAATTAATTAATTAAAACGTAATTTACATATCCCCATCTATATAGTGTAACTATTTCAACGATAATTTTTTATCATTGAAATTTATTTCTAATAAATATAATATTAATATAAAAATAATACTTAAATCTCTTCATCTTAAAGACAGCTTTAAACTATTTAAAAAAATCTCAATTATAAAAAATCCATAGTTAAAATGATATTTTTTTTTAAAGTACGATAAGATACAAGTTTATATCTATGTTTAATATAAATGTAAAACACACGTATAGAATATCTAATGAAAGAGATTTTTTAAAGATGATGTAACAGACGAATGTAAATTTTTCAGCAGACGACGACGGCGTTGGCGCCATTTTCTTGTAGCGATGTAACCATTGATCGTTTGGAAGTAGGACAGCTGGCAGAATGCCATCTCTTTGCCGGCCCCACGTGGGGCGCCATTGAGATATTACTTAGAATTTTACATCCTACTTGTAACAGTACTTATGCATGTAGACATGTGGTATACTAACAGTAAATATAGTAATGATTTATCATGGCTAGACACTACACGTGACCTCCACCATGACAGTGCCCTTGGGCTGTCGTGATGACTCAAGACCATGTCGTAACTGACCATTGTCCACCCACCTGTCTTTTCAATCCATCTAATTTCAAGTCCACTAGGAACTTCATGTACTGATGTTAACATACATAGTGTTGTATCCCGCTAGTTTTTTTACTTAGAACGTTTTATACTAGACTCTATACCAGCCTTTATTTCGACTTAGAACGCTATGTCTCACTAGGGATACTTGCACTTTAAAGATAAACAAATGAGGGTCGGTGAAAGGATGGTCTAAACCGTTGGTTTTCGACCGCTACGACCCGGGTTTGATTCCCGTATTGGGCACTTTATTATGTTTTTAAAAAATGCTTCAATGGCCCCCGATTCTTGCAAAAGTCCAACCCCACCAGCTGGTACAAGTAACCAAACGGGGCTCTGGCACATTTGTAAGTGCAAAGTCGAACTGCTTTTCACATATGTAGACACGTGTTGC